ATCCGTCTGGCATTTTGCGTGAACCTATACGCCCTTATATGCAAGGTTTCAGAATCGCGTCTAGACTTCCTACCATATATACCGTACACCTTAGATGTTATTGAAGTGTGGCGTACCTTAAGATTCGTCTGGATAAGCTGTGTTCAACACCGCTTTTCCAATTGAAAAATATTTATTTTTACAGAAGTCATTACCATGCGACACTCGCGAACGATTTTTATGTGAAATCACGTTTTTCTTGCAGAAATTATGAGCGCTTATGTATATCCAGTTACCTCAAATACCAGAGCATGTGGTGGATGGATTCCTGGTAATCGTTAGAGAGCACTGATTGTTGAGTCAAGCTAGCAATATGTTTCAGAGATACGCAAGAATTCAACGAAGGTCTGTTTATTTGTTAGAAAATATTTCAAAGCCAGAAAGCCAATATTGCCTTAAACTTGCTCTCAAAGCGATTGCTCGTGCCTACCCTAAGTATCAGTAGAGCATGCTTGGCATTAAGCCTCAAGTCGCGTCAGAACCATAGAAATTTTTTTAGGAGTAAATTGGAGGCTCAGCGATTAGCTCTGGAGATGGTTGTTGTGAGGAAAAATTTTTTCAAGTGCACCACAGGTGGCAAACTAAAAAGAAATGTGTGCAGCGGTTAGCACAAGCAATGTTCCTTTCCATTTTTTTTGTCATTTTCGAGTATTCTCTGGTACTGTGGTAGATTTCTCAAGAAATTCATTTTCGGATAAAAATCAAGCTATGGCGACTTTAACGGCCGATCTGAAGACTGTCAGATTTGCTGGATTGAATGCATATCACTCATAAAACGATCCATGATATAAAATTAGGCTTCAACTGATTGCAATTCTATAACAACTTAGGATGCGTCAAAGTTACATGATAACCGAAAAAAGTTTCGGAATGACCTATAAATTCATAATTGCTGTAAATGTCCCATAGATTAGAGACCTCAACCTAACCAAATCTATACAAAGTATCATGACTATGGACGCTACCGTATCTTTGAATGGTTTATTAGCAACAGAGCAATTTATTGTCTGCTGATAGGGTCAAACAGGTCTGGCTAAAGTGCTTTACTTCAAAAGAACACTCGCATGTTGGAAATTCCGGAAACAATCCAATAATATAACATAACATTTCGCATTGTTGGTTTTCCATTCTTATTGTCTATGACACTGTTTGCACTGTCTATAAAGAAGTTTGCGCTAGAAACATTTTAATATACAAATTTAATCCAGAATGTAAACCTCTCCCCCACGTTCTTTCCTTATGAGCACAACATGTCTTCGAATAAG